GGGGTGGGGAGGTTGTTTGTGAAGGTACCAAGCAGAGCTGGAGTGGGATTGATGCAGCCTTAATTGGGGTCTTGTGTCCCTTTGCACTGCTGTGAAGCTCTGGCCACAGCTCATCGAGCACCGCAGCCCCAGGGAGCCGGCAGGGCACATGTGGACCTGCGTCCCCACTCATTACCAGGCTCAGAGGGTGATGTGTGTTACCATGCTCCCTGGGGAGCTTGGGGACACAGCTGCTGTCACCTGAGTAACCAGCCGTGATTGATGCCTGCTTCCCCATGTCCTGCAGGGACTGTAATTGAGCAGGAGAGAGAAGGTGGAGGATGAGGGGACAATCCAGCCCAGCCAACAGGGCACTGGATCCAGCTTCAGCACTGGGCTGGGGGCAATTGGTTGAATCGGTGTGCCCCTTCAGGCTCCAGGGATGGGGATGTGGTCAAAGGCCTGCTCTTATTCCCGAGGAGAAGGGAACAGACTCTGTGTGATGGGCTGTGGACAATCAGTGCTGTAGCTGCAGCTCTGTTCCAAGTTTTGCCTTGGAAGATGGATGGGACTCTAAAGGGTGGATGAGGACAGTCCCAGAGCCCCCCAGGACTTGAGGGGACTGCCTGAGTTTCTCACCTCAGGGTACTGGGTGGTCTGGGACCTTCTAGTACAGGGATTTGTGTGTTTGGGGTGTTGCCCATCATGCTGGGCCCAGGCCACAATAGAGCTGGTACCCTCTAAGTACCAACCATTGCTGAGTGCACAGCTCCTGTCTGTGCACCCTGTAGCCCCCAGCCCCTTCTGCAGCCCCCAGCCCCTTCTGCAGCCCCCAGGCACTTCTGCTAATGAAGCCGTTTCTATTTGTCGCCTTTGTGGAACAAAGCTCAGCTCTTCCCCTCTGAAGATCCCAGTTATCGATCCCAGGGAAGAAAAGGCAGCGCATACAGAGCCTCAGCCTTCTCCTGCTGCCTGAGTGCTCTGCACAGCTCCTGCAGGTGATTTGGGGGGGCATAGAGGCTGAAGGGAGCATAAGGGAGCACCCCACAGCTTCCTCCTGCATCCTGGTTGGCCTGTACAATGTTCAGGAGAAACGTACCCATAAGGACAATTTTTCAGGGTACAGTGGGTTTAGCTTCCAGCAAAGGGCAATGAGAGGTTCCCCAAAGCCATCCAGCTCATATTACCAGCAATGTTAGCAAAGTACCTGTATTAGCAGATAGTTTTTATCTAAAAGAGTGGCCTGAAACCTTGACTTGGTGTTCCCTGGTACCTGGGCTATGGCAGAGCCATACCCAGGCCCATGTTCTTCCTGGCACTGCTGAAGTCATTTTTTTCATGACAGGGCAGTGGCTGGCTGAGCCCTGGGATACAGAGAATAACATCAGAAGGTGCTTTGAAAATTCACAGAATCATCAGGGCTGGAAGGGACCCCTGGGGATCACCCACTACAACCCCTGTGCCAAGACAGGGTCACCTGGAGCAGATGACACAGGAACACATCCAGGTGGGGTTGGAATGTCTCCAGAGAGAGAGACTCTACAGCCTCCCTAGGCAGCTGTTCCAGTGCTCTGCCACCCTCAGCATAAAGTCCTTCTTTTCTTTTTTTATGGCCACTGCTTCTCCCTGTAACAGGGAACCACTGAAAGGTTTTGCACCCCCTCTGACACTTGCCTTTGAGCTATTTTGCATTAATGATTTAAATTTTGAATTTGATTTTGAATTAATATATTGCATTAATGAGATCCCCTCTCAGTCTTTTCTCCAGACTGAACAGGCCCAGGTCCTGCAGTCTCTCCTCAGAGGAGAGATGCTCCAGACCCTAGATCATCTTTGTGGCCTCTTCTGGATCCTCTCCAGTAGCTCCTTGTTTTTCTTGTGCTGAGGAGCCCAGAAGGGGACACAGCACTCACCAGGGCTGAATAGAGGGGCAGGATCACCTCCCTTGGCCTGCTGCTCTTCCTGATGCACCCTAGGACACTTCTTGCTCTGCAGATGGGAAACTCTCTGGACTTTTCCTGCGGCAGATGCTGCTATTAAGAATTCATTTCATCCCGGTCAGAAATCCGTGCAATTGTGGGTCCCAGCTGAAGGCAACGGCACGGCTGGGGTTGGCTGCACCATTCATTAGTGCTTCTCTTCTCTGTGAGTGTCACCTGCGGCAGTCGATAAGAGAAAGGTGAACGCGGGCAGACAGAGGCCTGGGGAAAAGCCGGAGGCAGCCTCCCGGATTTCAAAGGGCCTGCATCCACACGGATCGCTATATCAATTCCTTTTAATACATACGAGCTCCTCTTTCCTGGAGGACAACGCCGGAATGAAGCGGCCATCGACTGCCCTCCCAGGCGGCGGGAGGGCTGTACGCCTCCCTCTGCAGTGCAAATCGCCATCGACCGCCCCGCATCCTCCGAGAGGGGCTGCGCTCCGCCAGACGCGGCCTCCCCTCCCGTCTCCATGGCAACCGCGGTCCTTAGCAACGCGCCGCCATAGCAACCACCGGGGCGCGCCGGAAGTGAGGCGCGGCCACTTCCGCCCGGCACGAAGATGGCGGCGGGCGCTGTGGAGCTGCGGCGGCTGCAGTGGCGGCTGGAGGAGCTGGAGCAGCGCGTCGGCCTCGGCGGCGGGGGC